CAGCAGCAGCTCTATAAAGCTCCTCTTGCCATCCCTCACACTCAGACAACAGCAGCCACTGCCCTGCCTTAGGCACTGCTGCCACAGCCCCCTTGGCCAGCACAGCTCTGCTCCCCAGCTCGAAGCATGGAAAATTCTCACTCTCCACGCCAATCCAATGTCACCTCATATGGAGCCAAAACAGTGGCCATCATCACCGTGCAGACATTTGCTGGCATGTGGATAAACGCTTTCATTTTTTGTGTGATCAGCATTGCCTGGGTCAAAAAGAAAACCTTGAATTCTAATGAGAAGATCTTGCTGCTTCTTGGAGGTTCCAGGTTTTGCTTTTTGTGTTTCTCATGGATATATTCCTTTCTTTCAACAATTTATCCCTATTATCTCTATGTTCATCCGATATTTCAAATAGTTGTAAGCATTCAATGCTTTTTTAATTGTTCCGACCTTTGYGTTTCTACMTGTCTTTGCGTTTTTTATTGCATAAAAATTGCCAATTTCAGAAACAGCTTCTTCATCTGCCTAAAAGTCAAAATTGACAGGATTGTGCCATGGCTCTTACTAGGGTCAGAGATTTTCRCCTTGGTTACYGGAATACTTGCTTATGATATTGCTGATAAAACCCTGCATAACAATTCCACCAGTCCCAGAAATTTGTGGAAAGTGCGTATCAAGACAGATGAACATTTTTTTTCTTTTTATTTCATCACTGGCCTGTTATTTGTGACTTCATTCACAGCTGTCATCTCTTCTGCCCTTCTCCTTCTCTTTTCYCTCTGGAGGCACAAACGCAACATGCAGACAAACTCCATGAACAGCCTCAGCATGGATGCCCACATCAAAGCCATGAAATCTATTCTCTCCTTCTTAGTCATGTACAGCATCAACTTTATAACATTGATTGTAATAATGATTTATTCATCAAAGGAAGAGAAGGCCATGATGTTTCTTATTTTTGTATTTCTGTATGCTTTTCCAGGTGTTCATTCCCTCATTCTCATTTTCAGCAATCCCAAGATGGTAAAGATACTGCTAAGGATTCTGATCTGTGTGAAGTGTAAGGTTTGCATGAAGTAGGAACTGCAATTTAAGCTGGACTCCTTGCAAAATATTGCTACTTCACTATAGAAAACAGATTAGGTAATTTCTAATGCAACTCTCCACGCAGTGTAGATTATACAGATTTTCACCCCTCAACACCAATCTTAGGAAAACTTCATTCAATTTCGTTCAACCAAATTCAAATGAGATAAATTAATCACAGATATGGTTTCATTTAGAAAATTCTAGGAGACAATATATTGTCAATAACTAATTCATTTTGCTATGGCATGGTACATGGACTGGAGGCAAAGAGACAGAAAATACTCCGGACTTCCCACAAGCACTTTGGCATTTGTAGATTGAAAAATTACTGAACTAACCATCAAGTAGATTTGTATTTGGGGTTACATTTCTTTCTGCTGAAATGGCTCTGTTCTATGCAATGTTATCACTTGTATCACTGGGTGGGATGGGTGCACCTTGAAGGACTGCAGCCTATGGAGACCCCACGCTGGAGACGCCTGATCCTGAAGGACKGCAGCCCATGGATGGGATCCACAATTGAGCAGGGAAGAGAGCAAGGAGGAAGMAGGGAAGGAGAGAATGGGTCATGGACTGACTGCAACCCCCATTTCCCATCCCCATGCCTTGCTGTGGGCCAGAGGTGGAGAAGCTGGAAACAAAAGAGTGAATTTTGCCTTGTTATGAAGAAGGTGGGAAGGGCTTCTGGTTTTGTGCTTGTTCCTCACCATCCTACTCGATATTATAAACAGCAATAAATTGAATTGATTTCCCAAAATTTCACTCTCTTTTGTCCATGACAGCAACTGGTGGTTAATCTCCCTGTCCCTATCTCGACCCATGAGATTCTCCGTCTTATTTTTCCTCTTGTCCCAATGGAGAGGAGTGAAGAAGAGGGTGGGTGAGGAGGGTCTGGCAGGTGTCCAAGTTTAACAATCCACAGCAGGTCATGTCAATATTAAATAATTCCAACATCACAGAACAGAATCTGATTGTTCATTTCTTTTGCCAGCTCTGGCTCAGAGGGACAATTTACTGCATACTCAGTGCCAGGTGTGCATTTTTCATATTATCACCTTCAAAAATATTCCTTTTGATGAAATGAGAGAAACTGCCTTT